CGGGACCGAGAGCAGTGCCACACCCTCCGCATCCTTCCTGGACTTACTGCCCTCCTAGCTCAGAACCAAGCTCTCCTGTGTGTGACTCAAGAAGGCCCTCGCTGAACAGATTCTACAAGAAAGGCCTTTGCCGTGACCGGCGGGGCGGGCACCGCTGAGCTGGCTGTGGGCAGGATGAGGAGATGGCGGGTGGGCGGGACCTCCCTGCAGGCACCGCAGCGCGTGGGAACCCGGCACTGAGACGGGTCCCATAGGGGTGAGCGGACCTACGAAAGGGGCTCAGAGGCCAGAGTCAACCCTCTCGGCTCAGCGGAGCTCCTGATCCCAGGACCCTGAGCGGGCCCCGGTTTTACCGCCACCACCACCTCTGGTCTCGGAGGGATGCCCGTCAGGTCCGTCACAGTGCCAGCCATGCCCTCCAGGGGCTCGGAGAAGGCCGCCAGGTAACACAGAAGCCACCGAGAACCAAAGGTGGAAGGGACCGCCAGGGAGAGTGAGATGGACAGGAATATAACGGCATCCCTGAGAGAACGGTGAGTTTGGGACAAAGTCAAGGAGCCGCAGGAGTTGGTGGGAGGGAATAAGGGCCGGCTTGGCAAGTGGGAAGAACAGCAAATGGGTCCCCCAGAGTGAATTTCAGAGCAACTGGTAACGAGGTGAACACCACATTCACCCAGAAACTCCAAACCCAAGGGCAGAGGGATTCTTAATCAACAGCAAAAAAAAAACTGTGTAAAAGATAAAGCCTTTAAGAAGAAAGCACAGAAGAACCCTGTTCTTGAAAAACAGAAAGAGAGGAAGAGGCAGATGTGCTGAGTAACATGACGGACCATGTAATGAGCAAAAGGACCACGAATCGAGCATATGAAAGGCACTGAGTCTTCTGAATGAACCCAAACCTACAGAAACAGGTTTTAGAGGCATTTATTTACACTAAAAATGTAGAGAGTTAACACACACACACACACACACACACACACACACACACACACACAAAAAAACCATTGGTACTCAAAAATGCCCTTAAATAATTTCACTTGAAAATTTGACTTGAATTTGATAAAAAGCATTTGTGTGTGTGAGAGAAATCTTTAGGCTTTTTATATATAAGTTCATGTCAACTGTGATTACTTCACTTTGGATGCCTTTTATTTCCTTATCTTGCCTGATTGGTCTGGCTAAAACTTCCTTGGGAAATAGAAGTGGAAAATGCACACATCCCTACTTGTTCCCTGACCATGTCTTAGACTCCTCCTTTCATACTCAGAGGAGCCTTCAAGGCATCTATAATAATAAAAGCGTATTATACAAATTTAAAAAAAAGTAAATAAAAGGCAATGGTCTTACAGAGGTTGTGACCAAAACCTAACAACTGGAAGCAAACACCATCCCACTCAGAAGTTGCCTCGTGCATGAGCTCCAACCATGGGCCAGGCCAGGGAGCAGCCTGCAACCGAGGTACGATTTGGTGTCTGCAAACGGAACCGAAGCCACACGTGCTTCTCGGCTCCACAGCGGGGCAGGGTCCTACGCGTCCCCACACGGACTCGACTCTTCGAAGCGCATGTGCGAGTTGGCAGTTCTCACCATTTTCCAAACCCTGAAGATTCAAAGCCTCCAGAGGCTCATTCACTCCGTGATTTACAACAACAACAACGCGAATTGAATGCTTATTTGGGAAAGAACATCAATGCGATGAGATCATCTGAAAGGCATCTTGCCTTGTGGACCAGGGTTCAAGGCAATGCTGTGCACAACCCGGAATCTGTCCGCTGCTCTTCACATAAAAATAAGGTACCTTGACCTACCGCTTCCTGTCTTTAAAGGCTGGGCACATAATGAAATCTTTATGCAAAATTAACCGTCAACAAATGGGAAAACAAAACTGCATCGCACCTACGTCATGCACCACTTCAGATGGATGTGGGACCCAGGCAAAGGACATCCCCTCGTTTGAAAAGTTCAAAGGCAGCACAATCGTTAACCAACCTGATGACCAGTTGGGTCAACATCCTTGTTGGATTACTATTCACATTTTTAGTGTTCTTTTTACTATGCCAGTGTTACTATATTCCCCCCCCCAAAAAAAAAAAAAACAAAAAAATAACGTCTTTTTCCTATAACTGAGCACAGTAATCCTGAGGCAAAGGTCTTTTACCAATATGTTGAGATTTAGAGACATAAAGAAATTCAGGAAGGGGGAGGAATTCTGGGGAGAGAAGCAAGAGACAAGCAATTTGCTGCGGATTGTCCTGTGCAGGAAATACCTGTTCTCCCTAAACACTGCCTGCCGGGAGCCTCACCCGCCACTTCTCCTGCTTCAGATCCTCCTCCGGGGTCTGTCAGTCAACACAGTGGGAACAAAAGCTGTGGGTAAACTCTGACCCGATGGCTCTTCACAGTCAAAGAACTTCAGGTTAGGAGGTGCGCTGGAGATCAACGCCCAGCCAAGCACTGACCGTTCGCCCGCAGCGAGGCCAAAGCAAGCTGGATCTCCCCCAGGGACGGGACCTCGCTCTCCCCAGGGCAGTTTGCCTGGAGAGCAAGTTCGCCTGCGTTCTGACCTGGGAGTTATCTCCCTGCCATCACCAGGGGTTACCCAGCCTCTGCCCACACGGCCGGCTGGCCGGCCCGGTGATCTGCAGAACCAACCACATCTCTCTGACGCACCAGCCCGGGGCAGCTGAGGACTCTTCTCCACATGGAGCCCGCCAGGAGATGGCTTCCGGGTTCCTCCACACTCCAGCCACCTCCCCTCTGACGGCTCCGACGGCCTGCCCAGGTCCCAGTCCTCTGTGCAGTGGCGTTTCCTCATACTCCGTTCCACCTCTCTATTCCCTCCCCGAACGGCACAGACGTGACCTCCCAGAGAGCGTGTGCAAAGGTCCCACCAACACAGGAACCCATGTCCACACAGAGCTAGCACGCGGGGGCTGCACATACATGTTTCCTGTTACTTCCCACGCCTTCAAGTTGGCCCGATGGTGCATAGGACAGTAAACATGACCTCAAAGCCAGTCTTCCAACAAGCCCACCTGCTGCCTTTCCTGCATCTTAACCCCGGGGATCAGCCTTCCAACCCTCCTCCCGCCCCTTGAGCCAGGTCCTCTGAGCTTTCGATGTTACCATCCATGGGGGGAAGGAGAAAAGCCATCCAGCATGGCTCTACAGACATGCTAGCGACATCCATTCTGAGCTAACATCTGAGAATGTTGGTAATGAGATGCTGGTAATGAGAAAAGCCATCCAGCATGGCTCCGCAGACATGCTAGTGACATGTATGTTGGTAATGAGATGCTGGTAACGAGAAAAGCCATCCAGCATGGCTCCGCAGACATGCTAGTGACATCCATTCTGAGCTAGCACTGTACACCACACGTGTCTCAACCTTCAGAGCAGCCCTCCTCGCTTGACACACGAGGAAACTGAGGCAGGCCTGGACCTGGAGCGCAAGGGGTCATCTGGTTCTGCATTTATTTCAATGACGGGATCTTAGAAATCTGAGGCAGGACACGTTTGCTCCGGGCAAGTTCCAAGCAACAAGTAAAGAAGGCGCCACAGAGAGGGGGAAACAGCAGAGGAACCGGTTTCTGTCCTGAGCTTTGCTGCGAATGAACCCCCAAGCTCACGCCTCGGGCCCCCGCTGTCCTCATTCCTAAGATCGGGGGACTGAGGTCAGACGGCCCTGCCGTGCCCGCCTCCCAGCTGTCCCCCGTCTGCGGCCCTGTCGCCACCGAGCTGCTAAAATTAGGCAGAGGACGTGGCTGGCATGCCTTTCTCTTTTAGTGTTCCTCGTGTCTTCAGTGTCTAAGATTAGCCCTCGTGTCTTCGGTTTCTAAGATTAGCTGGGCGGTGTTTGGTAACTACCAGCGGGTCCCTCAAGCAGGACGAAAACTGCCGTCTATACACTGTCCGAGCTTAAGCAGCTCCTTCTGGGATGAGAAGATGAATCTGGCCCCGCCAGCCACAGGGCGGCACCCACGAAGGCCCTCACCCCACGCGATAGCACCCTGACAGCCTGCCACGTGTTCTCAGAACCGCGGTTCTCAGCACCCGGGGGGCAGGTGCGATGGGGAAGGTGTCATAGGGATGCAGCGAGCAGAGGCCAGGGGGCTGCTACTCACCCTCCGACGCCCAGGATGGTCCCCACAACCCAGAGGGATCTGGCCCGAGCTGCCCATGGTGCTGAGGCAGAGAGTCCCGTCTTAAAGGGTGAGGTCAGAGAATGGCCCCAAACTCTCCCTAGTGTTTTATTTTTAACTAGAGGCCCAGTGCACAGATTTGTGCACTGGCGGGGTCCCTCAGCCTGGCCTGCACCCTCTCCCAATCCGGGACCCCTTGGGGGATGTCAGACTGCCGGTCTCAGCCTCGGGATGTAGCAGTGCAGGAAGCGGTAGGCAAGCAGGGAGGAGCCTGAGCTGGGACCAGGCTCTGCTTTCATTCACCCCGGCCCCTCCACGCCTGCTGCTGTGGTGGCGGAGGTGGGAGAGGTTCCCACCACTGCACCTGTGCTCACCAGCTGTGAGCCCGGCTTCTGGCTGAGCGGCGCTCCCACTGTGGGAGCAAACTGACCACCAGGGGGCAGCTCCTGCATGGAGCATCTGCCCCCTGGTGGTCAGTGCATGTCATAGCAACCGGTCGACCGGTTGTTCGATCATTCAGTGCTTAGGCTTTTATATAATATAGATATATTTTATAGATTTTTAGAGAGAGGGTAAGGGAGAAAGAGAGCGAGTGAAACGTTGATGTGAGAGTAAAACGTCAGGTTATCTGATTGGCTGCCTCATGCACGCCCCCTGCAGGAGATCAAGCCCACCACCCCGCGTTGTGCCCCGGCCGGGAATCAAACAGCGACCTTTCAGAGCATGAGACGCCCAACCTCCTGAGCCGCACCAGCCAGGGCTCTTCCTAGTGTTTTATCGGAACTGGCCCACGCGAGAGGCCAACCAGACGGACGGGCTGACCGGAGAGAACCGAGGCTCCGGAAGCCTCTCTCTTACCTTGCGAAGAAGGAGGCGGCCACGGAGGTGCCCGTGGAGGGCTCGGGGGCCACGCAGGAGCCCTGGGAGGCGGGGGCGCCGGCGGCCGACGGCTTGTCTGCATTGTAGCGATTCAGAGCCGCTTCGGACAGGCCCTCCCGGCCAGTCTCCGTCATCAGCTGGGAGATCTGAGGAGGAAGTGGACACGGAGCTCATTACCGGGGCTCGGCATGCACCCTGACCGCTCCCTGCCAGCATGGGGGGCGGGGGAGGGGGGAGCACTCCTGCCCATCACACAGCCCACACAGCTCTCAGGCCTCCTACAAGGCCACTCTCCGGCATCTCAGCCCGGATGCCTCCGCACTTGCGATCAAAATAATGGGATAAAATCACCCGCTGACACGGTGCATCTCCATTATGTCCGTCTCCCCTGCCACTGGAGGGGAGAGTGTGAGCCATTATCCGCTCTGTCTGCAGCCCAAGGCCAGGCCAGTGTCATCGGCCAGTGCCCGCTAGTGTCTTACCAGGAGTGCCAACAATGCTCAGGTGACCAGATTTTTACATTGGTAAAGCGGGAGGGACACCATTGACCTGGGGTGGGGGTTCTTGATTAAAAATTTGGTCTAGATGGAGCAACAAAAATTTTTACAGAACGCAAAAATAGTATTGTAATATTTTATTTTTTTAAATTTCAACATAAGTACAATTTACAAATATAATAAGTACCGTATTTTTCGGACCATAAGACGCACTTTTTTTCCCCCAGAAGTGGGGGGAAAACGTCCCTGTGTCTTATGGTCCAAATATAGCCTACACATATACTTTAAAAAAAAAGTTTTTTTACTTGCCCGGCTCTGTGTGGTCTCTGTGTGCTTGCCCGGCTCTAAAATGGTTCTAAATGCTGCTGTTTACTTTACAGGGTTGATTACATGTGTTTATGACTGTGATGTTGGGTTTTAATGCACATAAAATATTTTAGGACACTATTTGTTTCAGAATCTTTTTTTCTTCATTTCCCTTCTCTAAAAACTGGTGCGTCTTATGGTCAGGAGCATCTTATGGTCCAAAAAATACGGTAAATAAAAATTATGTATAGTCGTAAGTGTCACTTTCAAGGCCGGTGCTAGGCTTTTTGCCAGCCACAATAAAATATAAATAATATGAATAGCTGATTTGTAATGACATCACTTGTTTAACGAGCTCACTAGCACGCAGTATGATGTGTATCGTCTGAGACACAGTTACAAAATGTTTTCGTCGTTGCCAACCCCCCAAAATGCCATTGTTCATGAAGTCCAAACAATGGTGGTCGAATTCTAACAACTGATCAACCATGCGAACCTTGATAAGCAGTTCTCGATAATCAGTTCTCAACAATTATTTGTTATAATTAAAGTTTAACATGATAAAAATGAACAGAAATAACATAAAGCTCATATCCTGGCTACATAGCCCCACGGCCGCCCTAAAACCGTCTATTCCCTTCCCGTCCCCCCGCCGTTCCCTAGCTTGTCGTGCATTCTTTCCAAAAATCGGGACTTTTTTAAAACGCCGCGGGACGTGGGACAAATTGCTAAAAATCGGGACTGCCCCGCCAAAAGCAAGATGTCTGCTCACCTTACCCAATGCCCTCCAACGGCCGAGGGGGGCACAGGCACCGTTTTCTTAGGGGAGACGTGAGCCTGCTCATGCCGGGCATGAGGGGTTAAAGCATTGCTTGCTGTTTGTCGCTGTAGGCAGTCGGCACGCAGAGGACTGAAAAGCCCGTAGAAATAGACAAGAGTCGCCATGGACTCCAGTGGGTCCCGGGGAGGGTTTTAGATCCTCCCGTTTTCCTCCCGGGTCATTGAGACAAAGGGCTCCCATCCTATTTGCAATCGCTGCCTTTGTAACAGGAGTTCTGGTCCGTTCTGCCTACATCCACATCGTATGCTATGGAGAACTGTACCCCCGGGGCCATGAGCCGCTTGCATAGAAATTCTACTCCAGAAAACGCTAACCCTGTGACAAGTGTCATAATGACGCAGGCATGTCTAGGGTGCCATTTCGAAAACCCGTTACTTTAAAACTTGGGTCTACCTGTAAAAAGCAAAAATTGTTTTTAAAAAAACAAAGAACAGGGACACTTTAGTTCAAAAGAGAAAGTCTCCAGACAGCCCTGGCCGGTTGCTCAGTGGTTAGAGCATCAGCCTGTGGGCCAGAGAGTTGGGGGTTGGATTCCTGGTCAAGGGCATGCACCTCGGCTGCAGGTTCCCCAGCCCTGGGGAGGCAACCAATTATTATCTCTCTCTCTCACATCGATGTTTCACTCTCCCTCCGCCTCCTCCCCCCACCCCCCTTCCACTCTCTAGAAATTAATGGGGGGGGGGGGGGAATATCCTGGGGTAAAGATTTAAAAAAAAAAAAAAAGCCTCCAGCCAGCTCCAGCTTCTTTTTTTTTATTTTATTTTATTTTATTTTATTTTATTTTATTTTATTTTATTTTATTTTATTGATTTTTACAGAGAGGAAGAGAGAGGGATAGAGAGTTAGAAACATCAATGAGAGAGAAAGATCAATCAGCTGCCTCTTGCACACCCCCCACTGGGGATGTGCCCGAAACCAAGGTCCATGCCCTTGACCGGAATCGAACCTGGGACCTTTCAGTCCGCAAGGCCGAAGCTCTATCCACTGAGCCAAACCGGTTTTGGCTAGCTCCAGCTTCTCAAAGGCTAAGTGGACAATGCTTCTAATTCTAGAAAATGCCAGTGCAATAAAGCGAGGAGGCTGGGGGAGGGGAGGAGGAGGGCGGGCAGTTTCCACTTCGTGACGGAGCCGCCGGGGAGAGGCCCACGTGCTGACCTTTGAACACAAACGCATTTGCACTTTTCATTCCTGGCCGCACGGCCATTACCCTGAGCCCCGCGGACCTGGCTCTTGGCTCTGCTGACACTCACGCGCTCACTCGGAAAGCCTTGGCATTCTGCGGCTGAAACTCTGCCAGCGCACACTCTCTTCTCCCCACTCACTCCGCGCTGCAAGGAACCCCGGCCCACGGGAGAGAGGGCAGAGGGGAGGCAGCGGAGGCCACGGTGCCCGGAGCCCGCCCCGGGCTCAGCAAGGCGCTGCCCAGTGCAGGACCGGCCACCTCTCCCAGGGCAGCCTCCGAGGCCCGCTGCTGCGGGCTCCCCTCCACCGGCTGCCCCTCCCCTCAGGGACCCCTGAAACAACCGGGGGGCTGAAGACACGGCCATCACACCGTCCTCACCCCCAAACAGCCCCGTGTCCGCCGGGGAGCAGCCTCAGGCCTGCCCTGGGCGTGGGGGCCGGAGGAGGAGGAGGAGGAGGAGGCCTGAAGCTGGTCACCCACCAGCTTCTGGAGGAAGCAGACCCTGTGCCACCAGCTGCAGCCCCGTCATACAACACGTATGCTCTCCACGCCGCTCCTTGGGACCAGTTCACGGAAGCAGTGGTGTCTGATACTTTCAAAACACCGTGTCGCAGGGAGAGCGTGCACACGTGTGTTTGCACATGCATGTTTTGTACATTGTATGTGTACATGTTTGGGCATGTGTTGCATGTACATGTGTTTTACAGTGTATGTTTGTGTGTGTGCGTGTGTGCTTTGAACAAATGTGCCCGTGCGTGCATGTTTGCACGTGTGTGTGCTCATATGTGTTTACATGTGTGTGCCTGTGCTTGCGTGTGCTTGTCCATGTGGGCCCTCGGCATGCATGAGAGCCCCAGCTATCGCTCATGTGCACGGAGGCTGCTCTTCACAGACCTCACAGACATAGCCAGATCCGTGTCTCCCACCACGTACACATTTGCTCGCATGGTTCAATATGAGGAACAGCAAATCCGTCCCAAAGAAACAGGAAAACCTTCAGCTTGGCGACGCGCCTGCCCACGGGGTCAAGACAAAAGATGCCTGGCCCAGGTTGCTGCCACATCGCGAACGGCAGTCTGTGAGCCATTGACCTCTCACCCGCGCTGACGGCGGCGCCGAGCCGTCAGCGTCTCCGGGCAGCCACGGTCTCACAGTCCGGGGCCCTGTCTTTTACTGTCACCGACCACCGCCCGCGGCTTCAGGCCCTCCTGGCTGTGCCAACAGAGGGTGCTCAGGAAATATCTCCGTGCACAAACCACCTCGCCATCCTCTCAGAAAAGGTGACCCTCCCTACAGGCATGGGTTCATCTGCGCTGTCGGCTGTCGAGCGCTTAGGACGCCAGGATACACTCTCAAACAGCCCACGTGAGACATAAACCAGGGAAGCGTGTCTGCCAACAGAGAAGATAAAAAACGCATTCCCAAAGCAAAGAGAAAGCCAAGCGCACGGCTCACGCCAGCGCCCCACCTGAGCCACGGGGCGGCTGACGTGCACAGACAGACCCCCACTCCGTGCAGCACCCAGGCCACGTTTTAAACATATGCGGCCTTTTTTTTTTATCTTTATTGTTGAATGTATTACAGATGCCCCCTTTTCTTTCCCCCATTAACCCCTTCTAGCCTGCCCCTGCCCCAGGCCCTCACCACCCTACTGTCTGTGTCCATGGGTGATGAGGACATCACCTATCCTATACAATATATCCTATAGGGCAGGCCTATCCTATACAATAAAAGGCTAATATGCAAATTGTCCCCTCAGGAGTTCCACCTACCAGGTGTTTGACCACCCACTATGTGCTGACCACCCACTATGCGCTGACTACCAGGGGGCGGTGCAGAACGAAGGAAGGCCCTGGCCAGCAGCCAGCAGCTGGGAGAAGGAAGGCCCTGGCCAGCAGCTGAAAAGGCCCCCTTTGGCCTGATCACCAGCCAGGCCTTGAGAATTCTACCCGTGCACAAATTTCGTGCAATGGGCCTCTAATATGGATGTAAGTTCCCCCATTAATCTCTCCACACCCACCCTCTCCTGCTTTCCCTGAGATTCCACAGTCTATTTCATGCTGGTATGTCTCTGGATCTGTTTTTCTCATCAGTTTATTTTGTTCTTTACCTTCCACCTATGAGAGAGGTCATGTGACACTTGTCTGTCTCTGACTGGCTTGTTTCACTTAGCGTAATACTCTCCAGGCCCCTCATGCTGTCTCAGAGGGTGAGAGCTCCTTCTTTTTTGCTGTGTCATAGTGTCCCGAGGGGTAAGTGCATCCCAGCTGTTTTTATCTTCCTATCCGGGTCTTAGCTCTGGCTGCAGGAAGGTGTGGC